GCTCCACCTGAGCCACAGCTGAATTGATGGCATCGAGCACGTCCATCTTCCCCTTACTTAAAGCTTCGTCTATTGGTGTGCGCTCATGGCTAAATATTCAAACCATGGATTAAACTCATTACGCAGTTTCACTGGACTTTAAAGAAATTTTAACTGAGTTTTCATTTGCACCTAAAGTATGGTATGCTTCCCAACTTTCTAGCACAAGGATACAATGTTTACAATGTAATGCTTGAACATTTCAAATCGGACCAATAAAGAGAATTAGAAGATAGTCGTACCTGTTAAGGATCGCGACATTTGCTCCAGCCAAAATTAAAGTTTTAACCACCTAGATCAGAGCAGTTAATCAGCAGTGAATGTTTCATGAATATGACACGTAATACAGTGTATGAACTCCGTAATTAATTAGTACCTCAATGCGGTCATTCAGACAAGCCCAATGAAGAGGTGTGTTCTTTTCTTCATTCAAAGAATTTAGATCCTGTTTTACATGGAAGAATGACTAAGATAAATAGATGTTTCTGGAACAATACATATAAATATAAATAAGCTGAGATTTGCACAAGAACCGTAACACCCTGACCACCTCCTGGTCTCCCGGACCATTAATAGATACAAAAAGGCTGCTTCCAGGTTTAACAACAAGCACCACAGACTAAGATGTCCTTCCAACAAATTATACTCTCACTTGTGTGTGCCCAGGGAAATTTCCTAAAAGGTCACCTCCATCCCAAAACAACTCTCAGCAAAACAAGCTTGAATATGGAATATCTTAGCAAATAGGTTCTTGCATAGAAAGATACAGCTTACAGGACCATTATCTATAACAACAAATTGCTTCAAGTGCCTAGCCCTATTACGACTAATGGAATGAGTGGTGCCATGTATAAAACCATGATGATGTGCACAAACAGCCAAACTAAGTGAGTTATCCAGACCAAAGTGCCCAAAGTGAATGGCAACAGATTATGACTATGAAAATCATCAAACATGGTTCGGTGCATGATTTTTTGGTCCTTTTAAGTGTTAATACTAAGATTTATAAGCCTATGAGAGACAACTTCATCAGTCTACAGTGGGTGCTAAAATCTACCAGAATTCATCACTAAACTATGATAGAATACGCATGATTGATTATTCAATAAACCATGATTGAGTATGAATTGAAGATCTCTTTTTCACCATTTAACTACGATGGATCATCACTTTGTCTACGCACCATCATTAGTATCTTGATATGTAGCACTCACAGTGCTAAGTGAGAAGTTGGGAGCAAGGCCAGTTCTCTTCACTAATAAAATAATATTCAATACAAATATTTTAATTTAGTAAAAATAAGTTCAGTTCAAAGTTCGGTAAAACTTATTTAAGTTCAGTAAAAATAATTTGAGTTCAGCAAAATTAATTTCATCAACAAAAATGATTTTAGTTCGAAAAAAAATAAGGTGAAATGAACAGGGCGTCAGGGCCTAATCAGGAAGACGAAGTAGCAACATTTTATATATTCTCTAATAGAACACACCACAAAATTGACTAGTATTTAGGTGTTATTAAAATTCTATTGAATGATCAAGCACACTCACTAATCACTACTAGGAATAATGTAAATTATGGAAGGATTAAATCTACTTACCACACCTTTACTTATAAGGTATTCGACAATGCCATGGTGACCATTGGCCGCTGCCATATGAAGAGCTGCATTGAATAATAATAAAGACGATGAAACGAAAGACTGACATGCGAAGATAAAAGTGATGCAGACATTAATCTTAGTACGACAAGAGCTTTGGCAGAACATAGAGTCTAGTAGTCCACTGCCAATCACTTAATTGACAATACTAAGTCACTAATCACAATCATGCTTTTTCTCAAGCTTGAAGCTGGCCACACACATGTTTATTTGCCAAATGCATATGGTAAAACAATGAGGCAAAATTGCAATGTCAGGGTGGATTGGTGGAATAATCATAGAGGATATGTAAAAAAGCACAAGGATATATTAGCAGGTACACTAAGGGTACAAAGGGCTTTAAATCAACAAATAAGATAATTTTACTGCCATGTAAGCAAAAATTAACAATTTTGAAAGCAATGGGATGGTAAGTTCATGATTTGGTCCTCACAAACAATCAATGTAGTCTGGGCATGAGGCCCAATTCGATAACATTATTTACAGAGTAACGTACATGTCTTTGCCTGTAAATGGCAGAACTGACACATTTAGTCACATGAAAACCAAAAAAACGGAAAACACAAACGGCCAATAACTTTCACCTTCAGTTATAGCCCTCCCTTATCTTTCAAACTAGATATGGAATAATATTGTAGAAGGACTAGAGAAGCTAAAAGACTACAAGGTCCTCATCAACCTATCACAAATAAATGGCAGTTTTCTGGTACCATATTCACACTATGGACAGCAGCCACAGAATATACAACTTTGTTGTGTAACTACATGGTTAATAGAAATGCAAGATCAAACGAGAATAGGCAACAGAGCAACCAAGCAGTACTATGTGAAACCCAAATCAGCTCTTTGCTAAGTAACTCTGTAAGTTGTAGGAGGACAATATCCAACATTGGCTTGTTGCAACAAAGCAGCAATACAGAAATGAATTGGATTGCAAAAACTCCAGTCTAGACACGAATAAATTGATGCATGATATCATGCCAAATCACAATGATTCAATAATGCAAGTATAAAAAGCAGGAAAACTGAGATAAAGGCAATCAAACCTGTTCGGCCTTGAGAATCCTTGGCATTAAGAGAGACTCCAGCAGATTCTAACTCTTTCAGGTCATCAAGATCATCATATCTAGCCGCCTAGGAAATGGAAATAAAGATTGTCACGTAATGCAACCCATCAATTTCCGTAGTGGGAATAAGAAAATACCATCCATTTAATGAAATTCTTTGATACGACATCGCGGATTTAGGCCAACAATGTGCACAAAAAAGGGATTAAAATCCAAGTGCCACCTCCCCTACCCTAAAAATGTGCCCACGCTAGTAATAGATTAAGTGGGTACATGAATCAAAATAGTGAACGCCCACCCAAACCCCAAAGAACCATGGCACCACGTCTAGAACGAGTGAACCCGAACACAGGTGCACGAGTGCCTAGTGGATTAACTAAACAAATTATGTTCCCCCATTAGTTCCATGAACCAGAAACTGCTATACATGTTCCAGACTTCTTGCTAGCACTAAGCCATACTAACACCTATACTCTCCCTATGTCATTTATACAACTAATTAGAAGTACCATGTCAAAATTTTGTGCAATTAGATGCCTAATTCAACTACTTGTATGTATTTTAATATCACTTAATTTATTCAATTTTGATAGTGTTACTAATTATGGGTAACCAAAAACAAATAAATTAGGCAACATACTAATCCATCTATAAGCTCTCCTGATAATAAACTCATCAAACATAAGCATGAAGACACCAATTACTTTAATCAACACAAATATTAATATTTCACTCATATAACCTAAAAAACAAAAATTAATTAGCAAGATTCTTCATTTATACAAGTATACAGTAAAATTATAAAGGGTACAATAAAATTCCAAATTGGGTATCAAATTCATATGTTTTCAACATGAATCAAATAATCATAGTATGATGATGAATAGCATTGAAAACAGGGGATGATTAATTGCTTAATTAAAGGAATTTAAGCAAATAATTAAGAAATAATATAAGATAGTTTACAGTCTAAGTAAATAATTACCTCAAGTAAGGCTTCAATTTGCTCCACCATCTCCGGTGAAATCTCAGTCGCCGGAGTTTCGTCGACGCCCATCTTTTTTAAAGAAGAAGAGGAGATAAAAAGAAGAGGTTTTGGGTGAGTTCTAAGTTTGTTCTTTTTTACACTGGACTTTGCCTAAACTTTTTGTGCACATTTGCCTCAATCAAACAATGGGCCTTGTATAATCCAGCTCTTAGCCCAACACAATTTTAGCCAAGACAAAACAACTACCAAATACTTCTACGGTTCTACCAACGGAGTATTGGCTCAATTATCAATTGATTGTAGGTGCAGTGGTGATTGAGACTAAATGTGGTAGGGAGGACCTGTGTTCCTTACCGGATTAGCCAAAAGGGTAAATCGGGTGAAACACCTAAAAAAAAAAAAAGCTCACTTGGTAAGAGTCATAAGAAACTTATCTTGAATAAGAGATCTAAGGTTCGTATCCTAAGAGAGTATTTGGAGGTAGGGATGTTTGGTTTATTAAGAACGTGAGGGTTTAGTTTTGTCATGTTTCTGGATGATTTTTTTTTTATAATTAAATATATTATTGGTCAAAGTTTTGCATAGGCATAATGTATAAGAGAGGGTTTATTAGTGTAAACTTTTACATCGTATATTCTTGTGTGGTATGAAAAGAATATGGATGTGTTTTTTTTTTTTTTTTTTATTGATGTGTGTCTTTGAATTGGGTCCAAACTACCTATTTATGGATTGAATTGGATTTGAGGGAACCTTGTTAGGTTTCTCAATGAATTGGACCTAATATTTTAAACCAGTTTCTACTTTGAATTTCATAGAACTCGAGCCAAAATTCAAATTGAAGAAATTCTTTCAACCCCTACTTGTGGCTTGTTTTATTGATCATTGAGTAATTAAAATGGCTAATGGTTACTTCTCACCTACTATCATACTTCTCACCTAATATTAAAAGTGTAACCAATTTTTAGATGCTTAAAATGTTTACACTTGTTAATATTTATTATCGTTAGACGATTACAACAAGATCTCACATTTTAATGTTCACACTCTTACAATCTTATTCCAGATATTGTTACAAGAAACAATGATCAAAGTTACAATTGAAAAGGATTATAGTAAATATATTAAAGACAAGTGGACAACCATTCTACATTACCTCCATAGGAAGCAGATTGGAGCCCTAAGGCATCGAAGGCACATTCCAAGCTGAATTTTGCACCACATCCACAAAAAAATCCAAATGACCCCCAATTATTTTGGAACAATAATCAATTAATCATTAAATAATTCATTTTCAAAGGTGAAAAAAAATTAAAACCCAGAAAATTGACTGGTATAAATTAATATCAACCGCTACATTTCCAATTTTTATCCACTCAAAAAAAAAAAAAGAAAAAAAAAAGGGGGACTTTTTCCTCTTCTCCCTTCTTCTCCAATTTCTCTGTACTTTTTTCCTTCTTTTTACTTGCAGGAATCTGGAAAAAGTATAAGAATTATACCCTCTTAGATTCTATCTCCTTCCCTTTATTTACCCCCCTTTTCTCTCTCCTCTTCTATTTTTATCCTCCATTTTTTTAAAACTATGACTTCACTCACCGCCTTTGTTGACGAAACCTTTACTACCGATCTCAACAACCAGCTTGTCATTCTAGATCAGGTAAACAAAGTTAAGCTCTTTGTTTGATTTTAATTTCTGGGTCATTGATTAATTAGGTATTTTTGTCAAAAATTGATATCAATTTGTGGATTTGAGATTGTTTGTTTGATTTTAGCTTCTGGGTAATTGATAAGTTAGGGTTTTCTTTCTGTAACTGATCCCAATTTGGGAAAGTGAGGTTGTTTATTGATTTTGGCTTCTGGGCGATCGATTTGATTAGGGTTCTAGCTTAAATTGATTCCAATTCGGAGATTTTAGGTTATTTGATTGGTTTTAGCATCTGGGTTATTGATTAATTAGGGTATTTTTTTAATCCGAGCTGATCTAGATTTGGGGATTAGGGATTATTTGATCAAATTTATTGATCATTTTCCTGGGTTATTGTGTGGAACAGAAGAAAATGGAGGAGGAGGAAGAGAGAGAAGGAAGTGAAGGGGGTGAGGTTTCTGCTGTGGCTGTGGTGGTTAATGATGGTGTCTGCGCCATTTGTTTGGATGACATTGAGCTTCAAGAAACTGCCCTTGTTAAAGGTTGCGAGCATGTTTACTGGTTTGTCTCCTTTCTTATTTTTTTTTCCACGTTTTTTCATTCACATTTTGTTTTCTCTGCATTTGATTGAATTTTGTGTGTTTATATTGATCTTTTGGATATTTGGTTTTATATGAATATGATTGATTTGCAATGTGTTGTTATGTTGATCTTCTATATGAAACTTGTGCATTTTGGCAGAATTTGTGCCATTGTATTTGTACAAGTATATATTGATTTTGAGACGACAACTGCCCACAGAAGAGCGTAATATATGGCCAGTATATGTGATTATCTCATCAGGTGTAACTGATTGGATTTATTCAGATGGTTGTGATCGTATATACCAATATTAAGAATTACAAATCCTTATAACTTTCACGAATCATGCTCTGTTTTTTGTACAATATATGAATGGACAATGAAGTACAGCTCTCGCCATTGAATTGTTAGGAAGTTGAAATATTGATTTTGTATTAAGTAGAAGGGGTAGAATTGATCTTGTATTTACGAGTTTGTTTAATTAATAATGTCAACATACCGTGTTGTTGTGTAATTGTGATGAAATTATAAACTGTTGGTGAACATCTGGTATTTGTTACGACTAGGTATTTGTTACGAAAATCTATTCTTTGACTGCTGTAAAAGGAAGATATTGTTACTTGTGCACTTGGCTATTGGAGCATGGAATCTTTTTCTTTGTTAAGTATACACTTGAACTATTATGGAAGGAAAGCTTGTTATATTTGTAGGCTTCACCTGGGAGATGTGGGATAAAATGGGGCATGCTCATTTGTTGTTTAATACTTTAATAATAAGTAGTAATTATTTTAGTGCTTAGTATGATTATGAGCATTCGGAGTACTTAAGGGGATCCAGGCCATCCCGTAGTTGTTCTCATTCTTTTCTGATTCTATTATGTTAGTGTATGAGTAGTATGTCTTTGTCATAAAGGTTGTTAAGCACAGCCAAAAGATGTTCTGACACATTTTTATGCCACCTGAAACTAGGGCTTTTAGTAGAAGCTAAAGGGAAAATTTTCTTTTGGCCAGTATGCACATTATATTAAAAGGTCCATTATATTTATTAACATTAAACTACATGGAAAACTTCTTCTGGAATCGTTCAAACTGGTGTTGGATTCCATTGTCCTTTGAAGCAAACTGTCATCTTATTTTATTGTGATCATGAAAATTTTAAATTATCCTGTGATTTAACTTTATTTACCTAAGTAACTCAGGAAGTTTATTGATGTTTTTTTGGGTGATTTTCTGCATTTTCAGTGTCAACTGTATTCTGCAATGGGCAACATATCATGAGAATCCAAAATGTCCGAAGTGCAAAAATCCATTTGAATCCCTCAGTGTTCATCGTGCGCTTGATGGAAGGTATTGAACTCTTAACACATTAGTAATTTCCTTCCGACCTCTGCCCCGTCCCCTTTTAGAAGGTACAGAATATATAAGAATTTAAATATTGCAGGGAAGGTACTCACTTTGTAGTTTTTCCTGTATCTTATGTTAGCTATCTTATGATTTTTTTTCCCCTCTCACATTGGTAGGCAGAGATAAGGCATAAGGGTGTTGGTTTCACTTGTTATACACTGCTATGCTGTTGAGATAGGATCAGAGTTACACGCTTTTTTCCTGGATGCATGATGCATCATGCATGTGCAGTTTGCTTATGTTCTGCTGCTCTTCATCTTGCAGCTTGCATGACTACATGCTTGAAGAAAGCGTGTGCTTGCTTGTGAGAGCCTCATGGTTTAAACCTTTAGTTGTGGATCATCGAGATGACTTTTATGACGAGCTGGATGATATTTTCTATTATCAATACCAATATCAATATGAATATGAAGATCTCAATGATGAGGATCTTGAGGATGCTTATTTTCATAGCTCACCAAGTCTTCGCATTGGCAACCGGAGGTGGGGAGATAATGGTTACATAAGGGCAGGTCGCCAGGAGGCAAGACCCGTCCCTAGATCAAATTCTCAGAACTCAGGCGCTAGTTCGTCCCGTCAGCGCAAACAGAAAGAGGTGGATAAGGATTTAGATGCCAGCTCTTCTGATACATCCAAGAAGAAAGAGGCTGGAAAAGATCTGATGGGGCGACGTGCCAAGAGGGCACTGAAGCGCGAAGCTGCTGACAAGGCAGCTGCGGCAAAACATCAACAGCATTTGGCTAGGTTAGGTAGGAGTAGCTGATAAGGGGGTGTTGTGAAAAGTACCTTGCAAGCCAGCGGCTTTCTGTGTCAACTCACCACCAGCATCCCTTGTACTGTACCTTCCGTCTCTTAATTTCCGCTATGTAAAATAATGACACCATAGCTGACTGGTCTCTTTAATCATATACTCTGCAAGTAGTACCTTAGTTATCATCCCATTATTTCTGGGCTGGAACTTCTTAAAGAAAGATATTGCAATAACCTTTAAACTTGGTTCTTGTGAATTCTTTGGATTTGTTCTTGTAAATAATTCTTTCAGCTGACACATTTAAGAAGTGCATTTAGTGTATATCTTGGATTCTTCCATTGTCCTCTTCTTTCTCCTCTTACCCTTTTACTTGTCTGCGAATTTTCTCAGGGGAATTATGTGTTTGAATAGTATTCCATTTGAATAGATATGATTTACATGCATACGTAGTCACGTACATACAGCTGCTACGACAATGCTTGTGATATGACTAGTCTCTCCGTGCTCCATTTTTGACTATCTGTGGGTGAGATTCCGTTCACACGGGACATTTTCAACCTGTGTTAATGACTGGAGTTTGGTGCTGGTTGTTGCCCCATCATATTCCAGCATAATTTGATAGTCAAATGTCTGTGCATGGCAGTAGATATGTAACTAATCGAAATGATTTATGTGAATGAAGATCATTAGTTCCTAAAGCATAACTTTTATCACATTTTTTTTCTCTTCTTTGAAACAGACATTTTTGTTAGTATTGACACTCTTGGTGAGTGAATTGGACCATTTGCTTGCCTTGCAGCTCAGGAAAGTGTAGTAACTTTGTGAATTGTGGATGGAGATGTAATCAAAACCCTAGTAAAGGTCAATAAGTGGGACATCCCCATTTACATTTCAGTGGAGGAAGGCCTCATCACTTATGAAGTGGAAGCTGCATTGTCAAGCAAAGCAAAGGTCTTTCTCTCTCTCTTCCTCTACTTTAAATATCTCTATTTATGTTAGTTTTTGTTTTATTTATTTTTTTTTAATTTTTTTTTTTTAATATATACGAAGTATAGTACAAATAACATACCCTCTCATATAACCATTTCAATGAACGGTATTTATATTCCTGATATGTATAGGTTATTTAGGATTATTCATACAAGTATAAGATAGGAGTTAATTTGGAACGAAAAACTGTTAAATTTGGATTTTTTTGTGCATCTTTGAATTAGAAACAGAGCTATTTTGATAATAACACTAAAAAAGATGGGAAAAAGAATATAGGTCTATAAAAAGGAAGGTGAAAAGAGAAGAGTGACACTATATTCCTATAACATCATTATCTACATTCATTTTCTCCCATTCTACCTACTACTTTCACCCACCTCAACTTGCTCAAATTCCTTCCATTCCAATGTATCCTAATTGTTGTATGTCTTTTTCTACTGATTTTTTTTCTGCTTTGTCTTGAGTTTACTTGAAGTTGTTATGTTCTTCATACTTTAAGAATCACTAACTGTCTTAGAAGACTTAAATACACTATTTTTCTAGCTTCTTCATCAACAACTATTTAGAAAACTATACATCACCTTTCTCTATAAATAGATGACTTTTCTTTTACAATTCTTCCCTTTCTAGTCTTTTCATTTGTTATCCTATCTATACATATTTGACCATTATTCATGCTCTTTTCTTCATGGAGTCCTTGAATCAATCATCCAGATTCTGTTACCATTCTGATGATCCTGAAAACGGAGTCGAATTCTCAGGGAAACTAGAAATCTTTATACATCATGCTAGGAACATACACAACATATGCATCTATGACAACCAAGATGTTTATTCTAAATTCTCCCTTACCTACAACCCGGATGAAATGGTTTCGACTCGGGTTGTCGTAGGAGGAGGTAAGAACCCTGAATTTGAAGAGAAGTTGGAGTTGAATGTGAAGCAAATAGATGCTGTTCTCAAATGTGAGATATGGATGCTAAGTAGAGCTAGAAACTTGCTTGAAGATCAGCTTTTGGGGTTTGCTTTAGTCCCAATTCCTCAGATTGTTAGCCAAGGAGGTAAAATAAGCTGTCAAAATTTCAGTCTTTCTTCTACTGATCTTTTTCACTCACCTGCTGGAACTGTTCAATTGAGTCTTTCACTTTCAACAAACTTATCCTCTGTTTCACCTCTGAATTCCTCTGCAAACAACCCGTTTCGCAATTTCTCAGGGAATTCATCTATTTCTTCTGAAGTAGTTTTGCTTGATCCAAATGATTATTCAAGAGTTGAATTCCCTGATATTAATGCAGCAACAGAAGATCAAGTGATGATCTCTGAGTTTTTTAATTCCAATACCTGTTCTTTAGGCTCATTTCTTCATCTAGGCTCGGCTTTAAAAGCCGAGTATGATTATGAAATGGCAGGAAATTCTTCAGAAGAGACTGAGAATGAGAACGAGAATTCTCGGAATGAGAGTAATCGAAATTCCGGGATTCTAAGCTCCACAACAAGTCTAAGTGATGACCGAAACACGGCTGATTCAAATTCAGCCAGTGATCAACAAACACCAACACCAACACAACCCGAAACAGGGGAGAGCCAGAGTAAGGTAGATGGTGATCAAAGAGAGAAAACCAATGAAATTGAAGATTGTACAGGTGAAAGTTCAGGTTATGGGAATACAAGTCGGGTTTTTCCGAATCGAGTAAGGAATGCAGGCCTTGAGGTGGAGCAAGCAGCAATGCAGCAGCAAATTGTGGATATGTATATGAAGAGCATGCAGCAATTTACTGAGTCCTTAGCAAATATGAAGCTCCCCATGGAACTCGATTCGAGCACGGATAGTAAAACACCCGGGAATGTGATTCGGATTATGGAAAGAAACAATGATTTGGATGTTGAGAACAAGAAGAAGGATGGTTCAAGAGTGTTCTATGGTAGCCGGGCTTTTTTTTGAAATGGCATAAAGTTCTTCAATATTTCGTAAATGGTTTAAGGTAACAAGATTAGTGTTTAAAAGATACTCTAATCTAGTTAAAAATGGAGTTTGTGTTTGTTGCTATAAGTTAGTGAGATGGTTTACGAGCACTTCTATTCCTCGATGTAAAAACAAAAAAAGGTTATGCTCGGATTCACTCTAAAACAAATGCATATATGTAATCGTAATGTTTTGGTCCAAGCTTAACTCACGTACAACGTGACCTTTTTAAATGTCATTAGTGTTAAAAATTTACTGAATAAATGGTACTCCGAAGATGCAACTTTTTTTCTATTCCGTAAATAGGTTAGATTGCCAGTACGAAGTATAAAACTTTTTCGACTTGTAAACCTAAACAAGTACTTGGTGTCAAAACTAGTTTCTCTTTCGGCAATCCATTTGATTTCATCGTTCGTTCTATGAGAATAGATTTCAAGCTTGGTACTAAAGAGTAGTGTTCCAAAGATATTTGACTGGTTTTCAAGAGTGAATTTGTTTACATATAATGTGGGTTACTAAAATCTATGTTTTGGATTATGAATTGATTGACACTTATGTAATGTGGGTTAATCATTAAGAATGATAACGGAAAGACAAACGAAGTCTGGCTTTTTGTGATTTTTGTAGATTTACTTTTTTCAAGTTCATTATTGTGCCAAGGTAGTGGGATAAAAAGCAAATTGATTGTCAAGAGAAATGAGATTGGGAATTTGAGGTATATATTTGCGTACTATAATTAAGAGTCAGACATTATAAAAGGAAGAGACAGCAAGTCACAAAAGACAATAATGTAGACATTCCTAATTACGTACTTATGGGTGCTAAAAGCCTTGAAGCCTCGAAGGCTTAAAGCTACTCGAAATCTACATATATTTGAAGGTTTGGTTTGGAGAAACAAAACCTTACATTTGTCTGTTTATACAAAGTTAGTGATCACCGAGCTCTCACAATTGCATTTGGACTAGTTAAGATATTAGTATATCAAGTCAATAATCGACTTGATACTTACCTTTATTGGATTATTACTCACCTAAATATTTATGAACAATATAAAATATATTGACATAATTCTAGCAAGTAGATACATGATTATGCTTGATCTATGTATAAAGCACTAACACACTTAGTCAAAGTGATGCAAATAAATAGTGAAAAGGTAATATCATTGTATTCTGGTTTGCCAAAAGCTTTTATACTCGGATGTACATAGAAGTAGATGCACCCCAAAGCTATTTTCTGCTTACTTATATATTTTTTTTAAAATAAATAAAAACATAGTAAATTAGCCGAAAAAAAAGGGGATTTGTTAAACATCGCCCACAAATTACTACATAAAGCCCACAAAATTCACTTGGTTTGACAATATTGACCTTGACCTAAAAAAAACACTCACACTCTCATCACTCACACTCTCATCGCTCATCTTCTTTCAACCTCTCTAAAAAAAATAAAAAATTCAAACAACAGCAATGTCGAGGCGGCAAGGCAAGGAATTGGCGGCGGCGGCGGAGGGAAGGAGGTCCCAAGGAGGCAAGGTACAATTTGTATAAAAAAAAAAAAAAAAGGAAAAACCGCCGTGACGGAGGTGGGGCGCCCTGGCTGGACGCCCAGCAAGCGGTGGTGGCGCCAGCTGCAGACGCCGCCACCAGTAGGCTGGCGCCTGGGCTGGACGCCATAGCCACGGTTGTGGCGTTTATTCAAGGCGCCGCAGCCGTGGCTGTGGCGTCCAGCCCAGGCGCCAGCCCACTGGTGGCGGCGTCTGCAGCTAGCGCCACCACCGCTGGCTGGGCGTCCAGCCAAGGCGCCCCCCCCCTTTTTTTTTATATTTGTTTTAAAATATTGTTTTTTTATTTTGTGTAATATATTTTTGAATTGTTTTTATATTTTGTTGTTTATTTTTATAAATTTTTTCAATTTTGTTGTATTTTTTCTATGTTTATATTTTGTTTACAATTATTTGTATGTTTTTAGTTTATTTGATTTGAGAGTGGTAGCTATTTTTCGTATAAATTTTTGTATGTTTATATATTTTAAAATTTTGTGTAGAATTCACTGGGTCGTCATGGTGCGGGGAAGAATGTAGAGCTTCTTAGTAGAAGCTATTCAGTGGAGAGGTCGGGGCATAGACATGTCAGATCCCGTGGTATTTCGGCCTCAGCTCGTAGAGAACGGATCCACCGTCGGGATGAGGATGACGATGACGATGATGATGCTAAGGAGGGTGACCAGGAGGAGGAGCAGGAGGAGGGCGCAGATGAGGATGAGGATGTGGACGATGGCAGTGGACCGTATGATGATTACGGTCCATTCAGTCAGAGGGTTGATGACATGTACGAGACACATATGGTGGAGGTGCGTAAGGGTAGGGGTGGTAGGTTTGTTAGTAGATCTGGCACATCATCTGCGTCCACTGTATCTGGGGCAAGCAGGAAACGGTCGAGGCCCGGTAATGATTCTTGGGTTGTTAGGAGTGAGGTGCCCGGTGGGCCTGTTGACGGGAGTGTGATTCCTAGCTTTCTAGGACACATAGCTGCCCGTATTTGGGAGGACCAGGAGAGGCCTTCAGTTACGGGGTTGTTGAAATGTCATACCCGGGAAAAGACTTGTAGCTTTTTGCGTACATGGGCTGAGGCTTGGCCGGCGGAGAGCGAGATGTTCGAGCGACTGGAGGGCACTGGGGTGAATCACGTTCCTGCCGTCACGACCAGTGGGAACTTGTACTTGGTTGTCTTGTACGTTGAGTCGATCAAAATCACAAATGGCCAAGACTTGATCATATAAGCACAATCAGGATGCACAAGGAAAAGATGAGTCACCTCCGCTGTATCTTCATCAGAATCAAACCAGAACAGGTAACCACGTGATTGTGCCTGGTGTAACAGCTGCTGTATAGGGTTCCTTCCCTCTGACCGTTCAAACCTGAGTTGTTGTCTGACGTTGTAGATGTGTCTTCGGTTTGGATGGTCTTCTGGAAATTTCTCTAACACAGATGCTAATATTTTAGCAGGCTTGACTTGAGCATCACTCATTTCTTTCACAACTAGTTTCGCAGCAGGACTTAAGCCGCTCAGTTGTCGATGACCCTCTTCATATACTATCATCTCATGGTTGTGATACCCCCATTTAGAGTAACCAATCACTTCCCAACCGTCACGACTCTGTAGTTGTCGAACCTTTACTCTGAACTCACACCCACAACCTTTCCGCTTTGTATCAAACCGAGTGGCTGTACGAAAATCTCTTTCTTCTCTTTTGCGATAACGGTCACATCTCAAAATGCGATCCATTCTACCATCCCGTTGAGATTTATGAGTTACTACTACCAAGCAAAATCCAGCTGCAATTGCAACCTGTTTTGCCCAATCAATCGCCTGTTGAGCTTCTTCGAATGGACCATCATGTCCAAATATCCCACTGTAATCATTTCCGTCTCCACCATATTCCTGCATCAATTATATATTACAATAAATACATTTAACGGATAATACATTTAATTTCTATATTTACACAGAATTAACACAAAAAAAAAGCATAATTATATATAATCAAACTTAATTTTTATAAAAACCCAATTCGAATTTTCAAACTAAATTTAAAAATTAACCATTTCGAATTTTCAAACTTAATTTTAAAAAAACCTATTTCGAATTTTCAAAATTAATTTAAAAAAAAACCATTTCGAATTTTTTTAAAAAATCATTTTCGATTTTTTTTAAAAAAAAAATAAATAAATAAAAAACAACAACAAAATCAAAAAAGAAAAAAAAAATTATAAGGGTGGCGTCTGCCATGGCTGCCACAGCCGCTGGACTGGCGCCTGGCAGGGCCGCCTCAGCCAGTAGAGTGGCGCCTGGCCAGGACGCCAGTCTGGTGGTCTGGGCGTCTGGGCTGGACGCCACTCTGGTGGTTCTGGCGTCTGGCTTGGACGTCCAGGCTACGGATTGGGCGTCCATCCTAGGCGCCGGAGCCACTCCGACGGTAAACCGTGAATTTTAACGGTGACTTACCTCGTTTTCCGTCGACGACGACGTACCTCCGGCGTCCCCCGCATCTCCGGCCTGCCCTCCGGTCTCCCCCGGCGAGCCAGTACGGCTCCACATTTTTTAAACCGAGATTATTTCAATTTTAGAAAATGGGCATAATGGTCACACCAAATCATATTTGTGGGCTTTATATGGTAATTTGCGGGCGATGTTTAGCGTTTCACAAAAAAAAGCTTGGATGCACCTTGCACTGTTGCACGTAGAGCTGTCAATTCGGATAAACGGGTCAGGTTTGGGTCGAGTAAGAGTGGGTCGGATCAACTCGGATAGGGTCAATACAGATTAATTCCATAACCTATGCGAGTCAGGTTTGGGTTAAGTCATGCTTGAGTCGGGTCACGTCGGGTCATACTTCTTATCGGTTTGGGTCGGGTTTAGGTCGACTTAATAACAGGTCGGGTAACATTCGGGTTGGGTAAATAATAGGTCGGGTTTAATTCGGTTTTTCACGGGTTAAAACTAGTTAGGGTAATTCTCGGGTTCTAGTCGGGTTCGATTCAAGTCAATAATTTGCGGGTTAGAATCAGGTCGGGTCATTCTCGGGTTTGAGTCGGGTTCGGTTCAAGTAAATAATTTGCGGATTATAATTAGGTCGGGTCATTTTCAAGTTAGGTTATTCTCGGCTTCAAGTCGAGTTCGGTTCAAGTCAATAATTTGCGGGTTATAATCAGGTTGGGTCATTTCCAAGTCGGGTCATTCTCAGATTCAAGTCGGGTTATGTTGAAGTCAATAATTTGCAGTTACAATCAGGTCGGATCATTTCAAAGTCAGGTCATATTCGGGTTCAACTAACTATAAATAGATAATTATCATTTTTATCAAGCTAACTATTTCCTTTGACTATAATATATATGGAAATATACTAGGGAACTATACTCTATAATTTAGGAAGATAATTATATCCTTTGACCAAACAACAAATATATACTATATTTAACGCTTAAATTTGAGGATGATGCTCCTTTCTTTTGCTGGCCTGGACCGACTTAGTCTCCCAAGACAATGCTTTGATCAACAATAATAAGGTGGTCTAAATTGCATTAGAGATGATTTGCAACCAGGTCAGGAACAATTTGGGTTGAATTTAGATCGGGTTAATAACAAGCCGTTTTAATTTCGAGTCGGTTTAGTAACAGATCGAGTTGAATTTTTGGGTTGGGTAAGTAATAGGTATGGTAAAATTCGGGCCG